GGGGAGGGGGTTACAGCCTCCCACTTGCCGATCCCGCACCGCGTTCTACCGTCTTCCGTACTTTTTTGTCCGTCTGCCTCCCGACTCCCGCCCTTCATTGTCTTATTCTCTCTTCAGGTTGTAAAAAAAGATCAGAAACCTGGGTTTTAGGAAAAGCCGTGCAGACAAACTTAGAGGCTTCCCTATAGCGCTGGTAGAGCATTATTGAATATCATGACATCGCTCGCGGCGCCCGTGGGCAAGATGAAGCGAATCCTCCCGGGGCCCATCTTGCCCGCTCGGGATTGCCCGCATTGATCCCGCGCATGAAAAATTGATTTCGAACTAAGTTCGTAATTCTTGGACAATTTCAAAGATGGAAACGCAAAAAATGGCAGAAGATAGTAAAACAAAAAGGAAACAGAAACGACTCTTGTAAGTTGTTGCACTACGAACACAATTGGCTTTCTTTCCCGGTTCTCGAAGTAAACAAGTCACTCTTAATTCTTAATAAAGCGAAATATTTTAGCAGTATAATAAATCCTTTATTAACCAAGCTTGTTCGGTCGAGATGGCTAGATATTAGCCTAGTTCTTTTTTCGCATTTTTCTGGACCTCAACTTCGTCTCGGTTCACGAAAAGCCAAAAAAAAGAACTCGGCCAATATCCAGCCATCTTGACCTCACGCTTGGTTAATAACGCATATTTATTGTTCGGTTGATTAATGATTCAGATTTCTTCATAAAGTTGAAATCTTTAAAACCAGAAGCGTCGCTTGAGATAAGGAGTACGGACGAGTAGAAAATATCGAGCGGCCAAGGCTCTTTAAACTAGGATCGTCTGGGGGCAAGGCCCCTTTAGAAAACTTTAGATTTAGAGTCTCGGAAATGCCATTCCCCACGTCTTTTGCAGAGAATTTTGGATACGGAAGGAAAATGCATTAGAAAGTGCGCGTTGTTTATTTTACATCTCGAGTGTCATCGGTAAGGTAAGGAATCCATTAACCAATACTATTAAATTAAACCTCGGCTAGCTGCGGAAAGTTGTACATACATTTCAACGCCTGTAAAAAGCAACTGTGTGATTTTCTGATTATAACTAAGGTATTTACAGAAACGGAGTCCGCGATATAGCTAGGGACTGAGTTTAATTTTCATTGCCATACCGAAAATACTGAGGCTGATCAATAATCCTCTGACGATATTTGACCTGACTCGCTTTGTTCGCTCGAGAATTTCGACAATTACAAATTTTGACAAATTTTGACAAATTCATTCATTAGGACTTATCACGTAACCCACTTCAATGGGTATCCAGTTCCACCCCTATTATGCCGTTTTTTTTCAGCAAATAGAAGTCAAAAAACTTTGCCTTCGGAAACAAGATTTTGCCCATGATATTCTTCTACTTAAAAGAATGTCATAATCGTTCGAAATTTTCTCTGGAACTTTTTCAAATTCTCCTTCTCTAATAGTTACTATTGCGGTTTGTTGCGGCACAAAATGGCCACGCAGTTTAAAAACAAAAAACAGCACGAGGCTAGAGCTCGCGGCGCCTAAGTTTTTTTTTTAACTTTTCCCGATAATTTCTAAATAAAAGTCAATACAATACAGTTGTTTTACCTCAAAAAAGCAGTGGAGAGGCTTCACCTCGAAGAACACGATTGCTAATGCTTTACAACCGGCATGAAAGAATGGACTTTCCACTCACGTTTTTCCTTTCCGCTTAAAAACGGCAGAGGGCAAATAGCAAACGAGCTAGCAGACGACAACCAAATGGCTGGAAAAATTGGTCACGTGGTCACCTTTGCCGTAAACGTCATGATAACCTTTCTTTTTGCACACTAAAGAAACCCCAGATTTTTCCAAGTGGTCGTGTTTTTCATTTTTGCTCCTCGTAACCTGCGTTTCATAACCATTTGTTACGGTTGGTCACGTAACTTTACGCGCCTTTAGCGTACGCCGCGCGCGAATAGGAGTAGGCACCTCCCATCTGGCCAGGTCGCTAAGGAAGTCGCCATCTTTTTTTGTGGATAGAAAGTGATCGAAGCTATCATGTCTTTAAAGGCTGTTGTTGGACAGCGTGAGTTTGAATGTTTCCCCTCACTATTTCTTTTCCCTCAGGCGTTCATGAATTCTGTCCTTTTTTTCTGTCACGAAGGTCTCATGCAAGATGTGATTCGCGAAGTCAAAACGGACAACGAATGGAAGGTGAGCATACGGAAATCTAAAATTCTCTTGTCAGCTGAGTGATGTAAACATTAGCTTGATGGTTCACCGAAGCACGACTAAATCCTGGAAATATATTCAATCTGAATTGGTCAAAATAATAGGTTCTTGTGGTGGATCGTCTAAGTTCCAGGATAATTTCATCATGCTGCAAAATGCACGACATCGTTGAGGAAGGCATAACAAGTGAGTTTTTTTTAGTTATTTATCTTTACCACTGGAAATTCGACCTGTAGTGCTATGCTTATAGTAAGATTATCATGTTAATAATCCCCCATCATAATTAGACAGGAATCCAAGGAGATACGAAATGAATTACCCAACAGTTAACGTGCAAACTTGTTAGCAGAAATTCATATGATGGTGACGATAATATTGTTTATGTACGAAAAAATCGATCGTTTGATGTTGTCTTTAGATATTGATCGACATTAATCTTCGTAAAATTGACACCTTCTTATGATCTGAAAAAATCTGTGAAAAACTGGCTAGATTTGATTTATTTCATTTTTTTCTTAAATAGCAAATATGAAAGTTTTATACATGTTGGGAAACAAATTATGCATAGTTGTAAGATTTGTTCTTGTATATCATTGTCAAAGAACCCCTCCTGTTCATGAATTCCATATTGGCCTGTGACTTATGAATGTTAAATGGACAAAACGTTTTATCTGTTACCCTTTTGAAGAAATAAGAGTTTGATTTATGGTAAACCTCTCTGTTTTCTCTGATCCAATTCTTGCCATTCGAGCAATTGATTAGTAAAACACAAAAGGTAACATGAGGTGTAGATCAGCTATATCCATATGAGATAAGGACAATTTTAATCAAATTGAGGTGTTTATGTTGAAGAATCACATCTGCCATGGATGTTATTAATATTTACTGCCTGATGAATTTTTTCAGTTGTTGAAGATATTTCCAAAGTCCGCCAACCACTACCAACCTTTGAGGCTATATACATTTTGACACCTGAGGAAGCGGTGGGTTATCTATAAACTATTACAGAACTGTTGATCAGAGCTGGTAGCAGGCTAAAACCACCAGCCAGTGTGCCACTTTCAGCCAGTTGACTTTACCTGATTTACTTTAAAGTGCTTATAACCCCCAAAAAATTGTTTGACCATATTAAATCTCTCTATTGTGTGGTTCCAGAAAATATCCATACCCCCCACAGAAGACTTTTTAATTTGCACCCCCACCCCCCAGGATTTTCCATTCCAGGGGGTCTTTGATGACCCCCCCTCCCCCCAGGAATTTCCAGAATTT